ACAGCTATATTAGGCAGAAGAAAAGGAGACTTCTCAGGGACAATCTGCAATGCTTTTCAACTGAAGAACTGCACAAGTATTGTGCCATCAATGAGGAGAATAGATGGGGAAGCTGAAAGGTCTGAAGCTGGATAAATCACCCAGAACAAATTGACTGCACCCCAGAGTTCTGAAGGAGATAGCTGAGGAAGTTGTTGGAGGCTTGGTAGTGATCTCTCAGGAATCACTAGAGTCAAGGAGGATCCGAGAGGACTGGAAAATGGCTAATGTAGCCACCCTGTTTAAGAAGAGAGGGAGGCAGAAGATAGGAAATTATAGGCTGCTTAGCCTTAACCCAGTCCTTGTTAAGAGTACATTATTAAGGATGAGATTCCAAAGTACTTGGAAGTGCATAGTAAAATAATACAGAGTCAGCATGGCTTCGTCAAGGGAAGGTCGTGCTTGACAAATCTGTTAGAGTTCTTTGAGGACATAATGAGCAAGTTAGACAAAGGAGGGCCAGTAGTTGTGATCTGTTTGGATTTCCAGAAGGCTCTTATCTAGATGCCGCACAAGAGGCTGCTAAATTGGATAAGAACCCATGGTGTTAGAGGCAAGGTGCTGGCATGGATAGAGTATTGGCAGAAGGCAGAAAATGGGAATAAAGGAGTCTTTTTCAGGATGGTAGCCGGTGACTAGTGGAGTTCCACACAGGCCATTGTTGGGACCACAACTATTCACCTTCTGTATTAACAATCTAGACAAAGGAACCAAAGTCATTGCTGCTAAATTTGCAGATGACAAAAAGTTAGGTGGAGGGGTAGATAATGATGGGGAGGCAGGGAGGCTGCAGAAGATTTTGGACAGGCGAGGAGAGCAGGCAATGAAGTGGCATAGCGTACAGTGGGAAAGTGTGAGGTTATGCACTTTTGTAGGCGGGATAGAGGCACAGACTGTTTTCTAACTGGGGAAAGGCTTTGGAAATCAGAAGTACAAAGGAACGATGTAGTCCTAGTTCAGGATTCTTTTAAGGTTAACAGGCAGTTTATTTGGCAGTTAGGAAGGCAGATGCAATGTTAGCATTCATTTCAAGAAGGCTTAAATACAAGAGCAGAGATGTACTGCTGAGTTTGTATAAGGCACTGGTCAGACTGCGTTTGGAATATTCCGTGCAGTTTTGGGCCCTATATGTAAAGAATGATATACTGTCTTTGGAAGGGGTCCAGAGAAGATTTACGAGAACAATCCTGGGGATGAAGGGCCTGTCTTAAGAGGAGCAGTTGAGGACTCAGGGACTGTACTCAATGGAGTTTAGAAGGATGAGGGGCGCTTTCATTGAAACTCTCAGAATACTGAGAGGCCTAGAGAGAGTGGACATGGAAAAGATGTTTCTACTGGTAGGAGAGATGAGGACCTGAGGGCACTGCCTCAGAGTGAAAGGACAACCCTTCAGAACTGGAATGAAGAGGAATTTCATCAGCCAGAGGGTGGTGAATCTGTGGAACTCATTGCTGCGGAAGGCTGTGGAGGCTAGGTTTTTGATTAGTAAGAGGATAAAGGTTTATTGGGAGAAAGCAAGAGAAAGGGTTGAGAATCATATGAGCCATGATCAAATGGTGGAGAAGACTCCATGGGCCGAAGTTTGTAATTCAGCTCCTATATCTTCTGGTCTTATGGTCAGTCTTGAAGTACCATTTTGTTGGTAGATATGTCAGTCATTAGTGTATGATAACATTAGCAAATTCCCACAAAAAGTGATGAGGTAAATCAAAGAATCCCTACAGTATGGAAGCAGGCTGTTCACCCCATTAAAACCACACTGACCCTCTGAAGAGCATCCCACCTAGACCCATCCCCAACCCTATCCCTGTAACCCTGCATTTCTCATGGCTAATCTACCTAGCATACGCATCCCTGGACACTGGGCAGTTTAGCATGGCTAATCCACCTAACCTGCACTCTTTGGACTGTGGGAGGAATCCGGGGCACCCAGAGGAAACACATAGGGAGAATGTGCAAATTCCACACAGATGGCTGTCTAAGGGTGGAATTGAACTTTGATCCCTGGCATTATGAGGCAGCAGTGCTAATAACCACTGAGCCACTGTACTGCCCCCATGTACACATGTTGACCAAGGAATATTGGTGATCAGGATGCCTTCCAGATTTTTATCAAAAAGGTAAAATTTTTGTACCATGTGATAGATTGTCGTTACCTCCAGGTACACTGAAACCTCAGTTCAAGATGTAATTCAAAAATGGCATCTCCAATAATCCAATCCTTTCACAGTTCTGCACAAAATATTATTGAGATTGTTTTCAGGTCCTAGCATTGAACATGAACCCATAGTCTTCTGATTCAGAGGCAAAAGGGCTACAACTGAACCAAGTTGAATTTTGATGCATTGTAAATTGGTCATTGCAGGTAATTCATTGAAGTGCATGCACAGTTGTTCAAGCCCATGATACAGCGGTCAAGAGAGTTTCTAAAATTCAAAAATGAGAAGGACATGGATATTTTTGCAGGCATTTCAGTTTGCCATAGGACAGGGCAATAGGATGGTGGAATGTGGGCAGAAAGGTTTATGTCACCTCTTAATGAAAAAGCTTTAAAGGCATTCGTGCATACAGAACTTGAACTTTGTATGAAGTATAATGTTAAGTGTGTGTTCCCGAGCTGTTGCAGCTCCATATCTGAAGATTATGTTTAAGCTGCTGTAAAAAGTATCCAGCCATGCATATAAATAAACAAACAGGATTTACTGGAGAAATTAGCTTTTATTAAGGGACTCAGTTTTAGATGGTTTTTGAGAATATTTGTGTGGTTACTTAACAACAAGTTAACTGTAAAATACTGTGGTCAATTAACCACTATCCAAAGGGAAAGAACAGTGAAGAACCAGTTATATTTGAAAAGGAAGGATGGGCACACTGAAGCTCCATTTTGAAATATACCAGATGAATGGGACCAGCATGTGTTACTCACAGGTTTACCTATTTTAATTTCCTTCAGGGTGGGCATATGTTGCAAATTGGGAGTCCAGATGTGGTTCATTGCAATTCTGACTAAATTCAAAATAAGACCTGGGCACATAATAGCCATGTGATCCCACTCATATTTGTATGTCTGTTTGAGCATTTTGTGCATTTTTGGTAAAACTGGTAAGATTAAAAGAAGGATGTGTATATTTGCTTCTTGTGGGAATGTTTTATTTCCTTCGTAGTTGAATGGTGGTAGATGTTAATGCAAACAGACATGTGAAATACATTTACTGAAACTTTAAGTTTGGAAAAAATAATCATCTTAAGACATGTTATACCACACCTTAAGGGCAGTTTGGACTTAAACTCGGACCTTCTGACCCATCGGGCACATTGTATTCTGAGTTCATGCAGAGTGTTTTCATTTAAAATTAATGCGTGAAACTAAATTGGTGCCATTCCTGTCGCTAAGCAGCAATTTCTGCTGGGTAGTATTGTTCTAATCAGATCAGCTTGAGAATCCAAATAATTTTGTAACTTCACAAGCATGGAAAAATGACATTGGTGTTAAAATAAAAGCAGATTTAACTCAAGTGAACAGTGTTTTGTGGTAGTTGATCAGACATTGTGCTGGCTCAAGCCAATTGAGGAACCATCCATATTGTTCAGTTTTAATGGTTGGATGGGGCTTGCTGCAGGAATCTTGTTACTTGGAGGAGAAAGCCATATTTACACTGCTTCATCCTAAGCAGAGAAGCATACCTAGTGACTTTTACCAGTTCAGTCATTTTTCCTATTCAGCTCTGCTGTGTGAAAGCAGTAAATAAAGATTCTATGAGCGGTAAACCTTTCTGCTTTTGTCTCCTACTTCTAAGATTATCCTTGAAACTTTGACCCAACATTTGGTCATCTCTCCTAGCATATCCTACTATATGCTTGGTGCTAGATTTCATTTAAAATACAGCTCTGGGGTCATTTTATGACATTAGGGGCAAGCATTTGTTGTCAGGCCTTGGATTTTCGTCTATAGATCCTTCATATTCCCTATTCTAAAATTAATGAAACATTGCATCTCCTGTTATCTTTTGAAATAAAGAACTTAAAATTAATTGAATTGAAATTAATCGGTTACATTGCTCTCTTGCTGCTGTTTAACTTTTATGTTTTACATAAACTTTATTTCTAGGCCACACCCTAAGCCACCACGTCTGAGAGCTTATTCTTCTGCCTTCAGAGGCCAAGACCAGGAGTGTTTATGATATGTAAAGAATCGTAATAACATTTCTGACCAACCACTGCAGTGCTAGATTGATAGTTCTAGCTATTAAATTGCAGTATTAATTTAGATCGTAGGAAGTAAGTAGTCCTCAGCAGTAAATATGAAAGTATTCTTTAGTACAGCCCAAAAATGTTGACACCCTTTCTTCTCGCCACATGCTTTTCTTTAAAATACTGTTCCACGTTGATCCTGAGAAGTTAATCAGGATCTCATTCTTTTCTTGGATGTAGCCCTCTATGATAACCCCTGTACAGGTACAGCAACCTTCATTGAACAATGAAGGGGACCAGTAGTTGGATTGTGTACTAATTCTGTAATTATTAATTTTTATAAATCATAAAATGGCGTAAACTGAAATTGGTGAGTGACTAAGAATGAAGCAGGCTTGAGGGGCTACATGACCTACTTTTGTCCCTAATTCGTATTTGTAATTACTTGTATCCAAAATAATTTTTTCCAATACTTGAAATTATTTATTCATAATTGTACATTATTTGTAAAATTATCCATTATGGATTTACAAACTGGAATGACATGATTTTAAAACGTACTTCATTTATTTGTATAGCCTTTGTTTAATGTTCAAAGATGGTCTGTTTTTAAATTTGACATATACGACTTGTCTTGTACACTTGTAACTAAAATAGACCTTTTTCAATCTATGTTGGAATAAAGGAAAGTGTAATTACTTTGGTTTTCACTGTTGCAGAGTTAGTTTATGACATCTTTAATGCAAGTATGTTTTTATTGTTTATTGTAGGTTATTAGAGGATTATTAAAATTTTGGCCAAAAACTGTCAGTCAAAAAGAGGTAAATTATTTGCTTTCTCCTTCAACTTTATTTTTTTCTATAGATCACATAACTATATTACTGCTTTGTACAGTATTTAACATAAGTTGCTGTCTTTTTGTGGCATATGCAAAACTAACTGATTTTTGAATTCATTTACTTAAATGGGACTCCATTGGTAAAATTAATTTAGAGACCTGTTTATATGTTACATAATGAAAGCAAAGGCAACCATTTCATGCTAAAGAAGTTATCTGTTAAAGGGCTTCGGATGGATGTTTGGATGGAGCTTTTCTGGTATGGTACTGAGCTTTACAGACCAAAAAATGTATCAAACTTAATTGTTGTCAGCTGAATTAATCATGGGCAGATGTATGTGGAGAGATTATGTGGCCAGATTTTGGAAAGATCTAAAAACAGCAGGGTTGTTGTGGCCGGTGATTTTAACGTCCCCTTATGTTGACTGGGACTCACTATGTGCTAGGGGCTTGGATGGGGCAGAATTTGTAAGGATCATTCAGGAAGGATTCTTGACACAATATGTAAACAGTCCAACCAGGGAAGGGGGTTATACTGGATGTGGTTTTGGGAAATGAGCCTGGCCAGGTGAGTGAAGTTTCGGGGGGAACATTTTTGGTGTAGTGACCATAATACATTGAGTTTTAAGATACTCATGGATAGAGATAACAGCATCCTCGGGCAAAGGCAAACTAAAACAATATTAGGCAGGAACTGGAGAATTTTGATTGGAGGTGGCTGTTGAAGGTAAATCTACATTAGACATGTGCGAGTATTTCAAACGGCGGTTGAGAAGAGTTCAGGAGAGATACATTCCTATGAGAATGGAGGATAGGTATGGCAAGTTACGTGAATCTTGGATGTCCTGGGACATTATGAGCTTGGTCAGAAATAGAAAGGAAGCATATGCAAGGTCGAGGCGGATAGAGACTGATGAAGTCAGTGAAACATGTAAAAAAAGTAGGAAATAAATTACACAAGGAATTAGAAGGACGAAAAGGGGTCATGAAAAGTAATTAGCAAACAGGATTAAGGAAAGTCCCAGGGCGTTTTATACACATATAAAAAATAAGACGGTAACCAGGGAAAGGTTGACCCACTCAAGAACAAAGTAGGGCATTTATATGTGGATTTAGAAGAGATAGGTGGGGTCCTAAACGATTACTTTGTGTCGGTATTCACCAAAGAGAAGGAATTGGTGGAGGATGATCTCAGGGAAGGGAATGGTGAGTTTTTAAGCCAATTTGCTATTAAAAAGGAAGAAGTGTTGTGCATCTTAAAAAGTATTAAGGTGGATAAATCCCTGAGTCCTGATGGGATCTATCCCAGAATATTGAGGGAGGCAAGAAAACAAATTGCTGAAGCATTCCTAGATATCATTGTATCCTCTTTAGCCACAGGTGAGGTCCCAGAGGACTGGAGAATACCTAATATTGTCCCATTGTTTAAGAAGGATAGCAGGGATAATCCTGAAAATTACAGGCCTATGAATCTCTCATTGGTGGTAGGGAAATTATCGGAAAAAATTCCCAGGGACGAGATCTATACGCATTTAGAAGCAAATGGACTTGGTAGGAATAGACAGCATGGTTTTGTGTGGCTGAGATCATGCCTCGCTAACTTGATCGAGTTTTTTGAGAAGATGACAAAGATGATCGATGAGGGAAAAGTGGTTGATGTTGTCTACATGAACTTCAGTAAAGCCTTTGACAAGGTGCCTCATGGCAACTGGTACAAAAGGTAAAGTCACATGGTATCGGGGTGATTTGGCAAGATGGATACAGAACTGGCTTAGTTGTAGGAGACAGAGTAGTGGTGGAATAATGCTTTTTGGAATGGACAGCTGTGACTAGTGGTGTTCCAGAGGGATCAGTGCTGGGACCTCTGCTGTTTGTGATCTACATAGCTGATTTGGAGGAAAACGTAGGTGGTCTAATAACGAAGTTTGCAGATGATGAGAAGATTGGAGTTGCAGATAGTGAGGAGGATTGTCAGAGGATACAGCAGGATATAGATCAGTTGGAAGCGTGGGCAGAAAAATGACAGATGGAGTTTAGTCCAGACAAATGTGAGGTGATGCATTTTGCAAGGTCAAGTACAGGTAGAAATTATACAGCGAATGGCAGAGCCCTTAGGAGTATTGATATGCAGAGGGATCTGGATGTGCAGATCCACAGATCACTGAAGGTGGCAGTGCAGGTAGATAAGGTGGTAAAAATGGCTCATGGCATGCTTGCCTTCAGTGGGAGGAACATTGAGTAAAACGATAAACAAGTTATGCTGCAGCTTTATAGAACTTTAGTTAGGCCGCACATGGAATACTGCTTACAGTTCTGGTCACACACTACCAGAAGGATGTACATGCTTTGGCGAGGGTACAGAAAAGGTTTACCAGGATGTTGCCTGGCATGAGGAATTTTAGCTATGAAGAAAGCTAAGCTAGATTGGGTTTGTTTTCACAGGAATGCAGGAAGTTGAAGGCGACCTAATAAAAGTTTGTAAGATTGTGAATGGCTTGGATAGTGTGGAAAGTATGAGGCTTTTTCCCAGGGTGGAGGTGTTAATTACTTGGGGATACAGGTTCGGGGTGTGAGAGGAGAAGTTTAAAAGAGATGTATGAGGTAAGTTTTTCACACAAAGGATGGTGAGTGCCTGGAATGTGTTGCCAGAGGTGGTGGCAGAAGCAGACACAGTAGCAGTGTTCAAGAAGCATATGGGCAAATACAGGAATAGGAAGGGAATAAAGGGAAATGGATCCTAGAAGTAAAAAATAGTTTTAGGATGAAAGGGCAAAATGTAGTGGAACAGGCTTGAAGGGCTGAAGGGCCTGTTCCTCTGCTATATTGTTCGTTGCCCACAGCTGTGTGATGGTACACCTGGCCTCCCATGTCCTCAGCCTGGTAGGTGGAATTCATTCACTATTCCCATATGTGATCACAACCTGGTACTTTGCTTCTAAAGGTGACATGTATCTTTCCTACTGGGTGAGCATGGCACCAAGGTTGAATGTGATTTATGCAAAATCAGGTAACCCAGAAAAGTCTTCATGTATACCAGTATTTGCAAAATAAGCACAGAAAAGGTTCCAAGGGTTCTATCGGCCCAGAAATTGTTATATGTGGAGCTACTGTAAGCAAGCAGAGTTCCGATTTAATGAGAATTGGCCTTTCTATGGTCCTTGTTATTGAGACGGTATGATTTTCATAAATGTTTTTAATTGGTTGACTCATTGATTTAATATATATTTTTCTCAGTACATGGGTATTTCTGTTTCTTGCTGTGGTGAGGTGGTGATGGGCTTGTTATGGTCTTTTTTTAAACAAAATAGTTTTAGAAATAAATTTCTCTTTGCAGTAGTGAAATGTATTTTCTATTCTATACAATAGAAAAGGAATAAACAATTTTGGGTATTTTTTATGACTGATCCATTGCAACTCTAAATGCTGCTCTTAGGTTATGTACTTGGGTGAAGTAGAAGAAATTTTGGATGTGATAGAACCTTCTCAGTTCAAAAAGATCCAAGAACCTTTGTTCAAGCAAATAGCCAAGTGTGTATCAAATCCACACTTCCAGGTGAGCTTTTGTACCTCTTGAGCACCACCGTAATAAATGTTTTATAATTGGACTGTTTTGACTTGCTTTGTAAAGTTCAGTTATTTCCGTGTTATGACAATGAATCACGGTGATTATAATAGATCATTGTGGATTTGCCCATTAGACTCCCAAAGATTGATTACCATGTTAGGATAATAGAATTGTGCACTGTTCATCCAGTTCCACAATATTATAAATGGTAAATAAGAGAAAATCTTATAAGTTTGTTCATAACAATTTCTGTAAAATGAGCATAAGTATTTTAGTGAAGAGAACTTTGTAAAATAGGATAACTATATTTTATTAAAGAATGTTTATGACATCACAGACTGTAACAAACCTTAATATTACTCTTGTTCAGAATCCAGTACTAGTTGAACAGTAATTTCCCCAAACTAAATTTTAAAAACTCTACCCCCTCATGCAAATGTTTGAGTTTGAGTCAGATTACTTCCAACCTTGATGTTATATTTAACACTGAAATAAGCTTATGATCATCTATCTGCACCATCACTAAGAATTGCCTATTTTCCCCCTCTGTAACATTGCCCAGCTTCCACCCAGCCTCAACCCTCTGCAGTTAAAACCCTCATTCATACTTTGTTACCTCTTGCCTGGACTATGCCAGTACAATTCAGGCCTGCCTCCCATCTTGCTTCAACTTAAGTTCATCCAAAACTCAAACCGTATCCTAATAAGTGCCATCCCATCACCATATGCTAACTGACTGACATTGCCTCTTGGTTAAACAATGTCTTTTTTAAAATTTGATCTTTATTCTTAAATCCCATAATAACAGTAATTATAATGGCAGCAAAACTGAACATTGTCTAAATATTGCATCTGTTCACTCTGTCCTTATCTTGTGCATATCCTGAATTTGATTCCAGAAATTGACAGATACTTCTTAACTGCCCATTGCCTTAAAGGATGGCTGACAGTTGATTATCAGGACAGCAGTTCTGTTGTGTCATTAATGCCCAAACGTCACCTGCTGGACTTTTCAGGTGGACCTGGGGATTTTGTAGTGCAGTGGTAGTGTCCCCATCTCTGGACTGGAAGACCTTGGTTCAAGTCCCACCTGCTCAAGGAGGTGTGTCTGACTAGGTTGATTGAAATATCTATATCCATCACCTGTTCCCTCATTGCATTTAGTCTCAAGAATTCCTTCAGACCATATTAGATAGCATATTCCTTGTTCTTTTTAAAGGGATTCTTGTAGTGCAGTGGTAGTATCTCTACCTATGGGCCAAGAGGCCTGGATTCAAGTTGCATCTGCTCCAGAGGTGTGTCATAACATCTCTGAACAGATTGATTTGAAAATATCTACACCTGTAAGTGCATTGTTAATAAGCATTCTCACCAGTTTATGGAGGGAGGCTGTTTCAATATGCAAACTGGTTCTTACGTCAGCTGTGGTGTACTAATTGAACATGCATATAGCACCTGCCACTTATTTGCTCCAGGTGTTGAGCAAACCATCCAGTGAGCACTGGAGTGTCAAAGAAAAGACCTAAAGAAAATCTCAAGGAAAAATATTCCGGAACTAACAGAAGCACGAGTACATTCAACATAGTATGGCTACTGCATTGACTTAAAACAGTTCTGTGCAGATGTTTAGAAGTGACATAGTCTAAACATCTCTTGCTGCTGGCTGTAAAATTAATTTTATTTGGGCAGTAAGATTCTTAATAACACTGGACCCTGCCACAATCCTGTTTGTAGTTTAACACAGGCTTACATAAAAAGCCATCAATTTGATTACAAAGGGAGAATTGTATGTTAGTAAGCTGGGATCAACAATAGAATACTTGAGGCTGAACAGAAAAGGATTTACTGTCCCCACAATACTTCCATAACCTTCCCTGCACATGTTTGTTCCACGCGTACAACAGGAAAGCATGAAAAGTGAGGGCCATTTGCTTTTATTTATTTCCTTCTGTCATTAACTTTTGCATGCTCACTGTGATGGTGTTCAAGATCAAAATAGAATGAAATGGCAATTCAATAGTAAATGTGGAAGTTGCAAGCACCCCTTTTCTTTCTGAGAGCATCTAAATGATGGTTGGAATGGGAAATCTTAATTGCTGCTGATGGTTCTGAAAATGATTAAATTTATATTTGGGAAAGAAGGTTAACAAAAAGGGTGATTATTCTATTTGTACCTGTTGCAATTTCAAATCCAAAAGGAAGGAGACATTTAAATGATGTACTTCTCCTTTTCCATCCTTTTTAGTGCACCTGACCATGGGATCCAGTAAGGCATGATGAAAACATTTGTTCGGGAAATCAATGCTTGCATGTTCAGTAATCAACCTTGAATGTGTTTATTTTAAAGTAAGAATTTTCAAATATTATTTTACTCCACAGGTCGCAGAAAGAGCTTTGTATTTCTGGAATAATGAGTACATACTTAGCCTAATAGAAGATAATTCTGAGAAAATTCTACCAATTATGTTTGGTAGTTTGTACAGGATCTCCAAGGAACACTGGAACCCGTAAGTTTTTACAATTTAAAATTTACTGACAGATGAACAAACCTAGCATGTCAGATATTCACTGCTCACCTTATCAGAAAGTTCAGGCTAATGTTTTTGTGTCTTCTCCTGTAGTGTTTTTACAGTAGTTTTTCAGTGTTAGTCTCACAGGTTTTAGTTGCAACACGATAAGTTTTCACCCTTATATTTTTGAGATTGCTTTATACTTTTGTTACCTGTCCTGAATATCTGGTTAAAACAATCTAAATTGTTAGTTTTACATGAAAATCAAGGCTGGCTTTCCAGTGTAATAATGGAAGACTGCTGTACTGTCAGAAGTTGCTGTGTTTTGTTGAGCAGTTAAAGGATCCCATCTCTCAGCTAAATGCAAAATCATAGTCATAGAGATATACAGCATGGAAACAGACCCTTCGGTCCAATTTGTCCATGCCGACCAGGTAACCTAAATAAATCTAGTTGCATTTGGCCCATATCCCTCTAAACTCTTCCTCTTCATAGACCCATCCAAATGCCTTTTTAACGTTGTAATTATACCAACCTCTACCACTTCCTGTGGCAGCTCATTCCATAGAGGCACCCCCCTCTGCGTAAAAAAGTTACCCCTTAGATCCCTTTTAAATCTTTCCCCTCTCACCTTAAACTTATGCCGTCTCGTTTTGGACTTTCCCTTCCCTGGGAAAAGACCTTGTCTATTTACCCTATCCGTGCCCTCATGATCTTATAAACCTTTATAATGTCACTCCTCAGCCTCCGACGCTCCGGGGAAAAACAGTATTTTAAAGAGCAGGGAAGATATGCCCAATGTCCTGGTCATTATTTATGCCACAATCAACATCACAGAAAAACTGATTAGCTGGTCATTATCACATTGCTGTTAGTGGGGACTTGAGCGCAACTTGACTGATATGTTTCAGTTCCCACGATATAACTTGACTACACTTCAAAAATAAATAATTGACTGAAACGCTGCGGGATGTCTCCCTTTTGAAAACTACATGTTCCAATCTATTTGAGGGAGACTATTCTTTGTGAAAATAAATATTATGTAACAATTAACCTCACTTCTTGCCCCGAGACATGCCTTTTGATCTTGACATCCTTATCAATCTCAAACATTCTACTGAACTGAATAGAATTCCTTAAGTTGATACCTTTGTTTAAAAGTCCTGGGTAGAGGTTGCCATTCTGGCCAAGTTAACTCACCTGTTACCAAGACCCCAGTCATACCATCACAACTCCAACTGTTTATTAATTTCATGGTGTTCCACTGCTCTATCTGGAATGCCAATGTGTATGCTAAGCATTTTTGTTAAGAAATTTTTCATGATATCATTAGTAATTTCTCCTTTGCTAGTTTGAATTCTTCTGGAGTTTTGTGTTTTGGATCTATCTTTCAATTATTGTTTTTCATATTTGATAATGCTACTAGACTACAGACGTTTTCAGTTTGCTTACATTATCTGTTTCACATTTCATGATTCCATAAATACTTCTGTGATTGTAGTCATGCTGTACATTTAAGTCAATCCAAACTTGTTTTCCAGAACCATTGTAGCACTCGTTTATAACGTACTAAAAACCTTAATGGAAATGAATGGGTCACTGTTCGATGAACTTACAGCATCTTACAAAGCAGAAAGACAGCGGTATGCAATCATCTTTTCAATTTTTGTTTTGTATTTTCTGCTTTCAAATATTTTAAAAGTTGTCATTGCTACTTACAGAAAACACAGATTGAAGATGTAGAGAAACTAAGTTTTATTGTTTCTAGGTGTAGCCTGCTGTAACTCATTAACACAACCTACTCTATTTTTCACCTTTGTGACGACAAGGGGTGATGAACCTTATCTCTTTTCATCATATTTCAATAGTGCAGAAGGCAGCAGAATCTTGCTGTCTCTCTTCTGGAAGTGCATTTATCATCTTGCAAAATGTATGCTGTTATGGACCAGACCAAACTCCCTCAAAACATGACACGGAGATAGCTTAGACCCTAACATTTTTTTTTTAAAAGCAAGTGCCAGGTGTTCTGTTCAGGATGCAATTGGATTGGTCAAAAAAGACAGGACAAAATATGCCTCTTAAAGCCATAGTATCATTGCACCTCCTGCCCCTTAAAAAAATGGCTTAAAAAATCTTTAGTTTACGCTATTAGTGGACAAGAAAACATATGCATTACATTGACTCTAAGCATGCAAACATTCACCACTGTAGTCCATTTCAATCTGTTCTTTTCCCGCTACTGAACGTCTCCGTCTTCCTTCATCAAAGTCACAACAATGTGTCGGCCATTACGTTTTCTCATCCTGTCAAGTGTATAATTTTCAAATTGAATGGCTGCAGTAATAAGCTTCATTCCAACAGTCTGGTATTTTTGTCCTTAAATTTTTCAAAAACTTTAATGGGCTATGATCAGTAAATATAGTCATCTCAGACACATTACTGGCAATATTAATGTTGGAATGCTGCAACACCATCACCAATCTCAAGGTCTCCTTCTCAATCGTGGAAAATTTCTGTTGATGATTATTCAATTTTCTGGAAAAATATCCAATAGTTCTTTCTAACTTCTCGTTGTCCTCTTGCAAGAGTATAACATCAACACCCACACCACTTGCATTGATAGCCACCTTGAATGGCTTTGTGTCATTTTGTGTGGCTAACACTGGGTTAGTGCTTAACACAGCTTTCGGGCTGCCAGATGCCTTATGACACTCCTCAGTCCACTGACATTTTCTGTACTACTTCAAGTCAGTCAGTGGAGCAACCGTGCTGCTAAAATTTGGCATGGACTTGCGATTTAAAAGCAAGTCCCCAATAACCTTAGTTCTCACATCCTGTGGGGCCATTTGTCCATGTCCAATAACATGACTTGGATTTTGGTGAACTCACTGTTAACCCCCTGGTTTTTCAGCAAGCCCACCTCCTGAAGTCGTTTTGAACAATTCCGATAGATGCTCTAAATGTTCTTCCCAAATGTGACTAAAAATCACCAGATCGTTGATGTACACCACACTATTAGGTAATCCCAAAATGACCTTATTGGCTAGCTTTTGAAATGTGGCTGGCACACTTTTCATACCAAATGGCATGACTTTAAATTGGTAAGGTCCATTCGGTGTCATGAAAGCCAAAATTCTTTCGCTGTTTCAGATAAAAGTACCTGCCAGTATCCTTTGAGTAAGTCTAAACTTTGAAATATAAGTCGCTTGTCCCATCTTCTCAATATAATTTTCCAAATGTGGAATCGGATATGAATCAGATTTTGTAACTGTATTGACTTTGTGATAGTCCACACATAATTGTTGGGTATCATCTGGTTTTGGCACCATCAGTGTGTGTGGGCTTTATTTGCTGCAACTCCATTTGATTATATTGTCTTTGAGCATGCGTTCAATCTACTTTTGTAACTGTGCCAACTTTAAACAGTTAAGTCTATAAGGATGTTGTTTAACTGGAACAGCATTTCCTATATCTACATCATGCGTAATTAGATTAAAACTTTCCGGCTTATTCCCACATAACTACCCGTGTGATTGTAATAACTCTTTCAGGTCATTTCAATTATCCTGTGGAAAGTAACACAATAATTTGCCCCAATTTTTGAGAACTTCCACTTTGTCCAATTTAATTTGAGGATTGTCTAATTCAGAATCACCTGAACTTGCTTCTTCATTCTGTTGTAACCAGGAATTCTTTCTCCTATTACTTTCCTTCCCTATCAAAATCAAATTTGAGCATAATCACATGACGCACTCTGAGATTTCTTTCTGTCTGGCGCTTTCATAAAATAATTCACCTCACTCAATTTCCTTTTGATTTGATGAGGCCCACCAAACCTTGCCTTTAAAGGTTCACCTACCACTGGAAGTAGCACTAAAACTTCTATCACCATCAGAAAAATTACAAATTTTTGAACTCTTGTCTGCTTCGCGTTTCATCACATACTGTGCTACTTCTAAATGCCGTCTAGGCAACTCATTGGCTGTGTTTAATCTTTCCCTACAGATTGACACAAAGTCCAAACATGTGGTCTCTGAACTCTGACTCGCCAATTTTTCCTTAATTAATTTCAGTGGTCCCCTCATCTCATGCCCAAAAACTAATCCAAATGGACTGAACTAGCTGCATCCCTAATTGCAAAAAGTACAAATGGAATTCCTGTATCCCAATCTTCTGGATAGTCTTGAATGTAAGCCCTCAATATGATCTTTAAAGTTTGATGCCACCGTTCCAATGCTCCCTCCAATTCTGGATGGAACACAGTGGATTTAAATTGTTTTACTCCTAAGTTATCCATAACTTCCTTGAATAGTTTTAATGTAAAATTTGATCTTTGATCCGATTGTATTTCTGCGGGTAGTCCATAAGTAACTCTTCTCCAGTTCTTTTATCTGTGAAATTGTGTAATGGAACGGTCTCTGGAAATCTAGTGGACACTTTTATTATAGTCAACAAATACTGATTCCCACTTTTTGTTTTAGGTAAGGGTCCTAGTGCAATCAATTAAGACTCTTGTGAAAGGTTCGTCATGTGGGAATGAGTATCACTGCCGGAGGTTTTCGATTTATTTGACTCATATGACATGTCCAGCAAAATTCAACCACATCTTTATGCAGTACAGGCCAATAAAAATGTTTTTGTAGTTTGGCTTGAGTTTTCCTTACTCCCAAATGACCACCTACTGATGATTCATGTGCTACCCACAACACCACCTTTCTATAGCACACCAGTAGCACCACTTGCTGACCTTCTGCCTGAATATGTGATGGTCTCCATTTCCTCATCAAGACTCCATTTTTAAAAGCTTTTCGATAAACTGCTGTAGTTATTTTTATCTTTCTGTTTGTAATTCAGCTAAGTTCTCTGAACTAAAAGTATCCACTTTGATCTTCACCTGTTTTTGTTTTATTTTCCCAACCATTTGATCAAACATAGTTTCTAATAATTGGACATCAACTTCCTTATCTTTACTCCTTGATTTCTCCTCCTGCTTCAAGCTGTGGCTTTGTGACCTTGTTACCACAGTCAGGAAAAATCCCAAGATATACTTCCTGTAGTTGCTGGATTTTTCACTGGCCTTTCACTCACCGTAGGCATCACTTCTACCTGTGATCCAGCTATATCATTATCAAGGATAAACTGTATTTCCAGAACTGAGAATTTCTCTATTACTCCTACACCAATTCACCACTTATTTCACCAGACTCTCCAACCTCACTTTACATAATGGAAAGCTGTTCTTCACACCGTGAATCCCACATATTACCACCTTTTCTGACAATATGTCTTCTGAATTAAGTAACACCTCATCTCTCACCATCAAAGATTGACTTGCTCTGGTATCTCTTAAATTTTTAATTTCTTTACCTGCTCCTTCAGGTGCCCATGAATAAACATTACCCATGCAAGTAAATTCTTTAAAGAGATCTGGCACTTCCTTCTCAACCAACCCCTGATCAGGTTGTACATTCTTTTGCAGCTTTTTAGCTTCCATTGTGCATTCCTTTACCACTTGGACAAAACTCACTGGCTTATTCTGTTTTCCCATATCCATCTTCCCACTACTTTTTCTAAACAACCAACACTGTGATTTTGTGTGGCCTACTTTATTACAGTGAAAACACCTGAGCTTTTACTTCTCTTTCCCCCTCATGGGTTTCCTTTTTACCCTATAGTAGACTATCTTTATTACTTCAATGAGATCACTTTTCCCTTGCCACCTGAGGATTTCTCTTTTCTCCAGTTTAGATCCCTCACTGATTGAAATTGATTTCGGAAGCCAAACTTTGATTTATGAAACAACTCCTAATCATCTGCCATTTCTGCTGCTGATCTTGCAGTCTTAACTCTCTGCTCTTCCACAAGCTCTCCCGCCTTCAAGAAGTGAATTGTTGAACTTCTCCAAAATAGAATAGAATAAAATATCCTTTATTGTCATGTGTAGTCCATTGTAGCAGTGAACAGCTTTTACAATGTCTGCCTATTATGGTGCCATCTTAGGTATAAGTACCCAGGTATAAATCTTGGATACAAAAGAAGAATAAAAAGTAGTTGCATTACTTTACAGAGTTTAAAAAATAAGTTTTTTTTAAAAAAAAAAGCCATTATTCAAGGATTGACATTACAGTCAGGTAAAAAAGTTTCCAGTAAAGATTACATCGTAGCAGCTCAGCACAGGGCCACCGTGCATGTTCTGACCGCCTGCGCCAGACTCCGATCAACAGCAGTTCCTGCTCCACTCCAAGCCTGCAGTCTGCTCCATACAGGCACTCAGCTGCTCCAAGGTAAGTTCCAGGACTGCCTCCTCCGCGCTGCTCTTCACCCGGGACTCGGCGCCCGCGCACTGCTCTTCACCTGGGACTCGGCGCCCGCGCACTGCTCTTCACCCTCCTCCAGGGCTAAGAGGAGGGGTAAAAAGAATAAAAAGAACAAGAACAGGCAGAGCAGGGGAGTACTGGCCATGTTGCCAGAAGAATTTCTATATTGGAAAATAATTGTCAAAGAGCATTATATGTTTGACATATTTTCAGTGCCCTTATTCACCTATCAAAGTTATTTTGTTTGGTCCTTTCAGACTGTATGTGCATTTGAACAGGTTCCATCCTTAGAATCCTAAAATGTCTGTAGACTTCTGGCACTGCCTCCTACGCACTTAAGATGGCAATTTTCACCTCATCATGCTCACCAGATACCTTCTCTGATAGTGATTCAAATACCTCACAAGTTCTACCTACCAAATTTGTTTGGATCAAAAATACCCACATTTCATTTGTTTAGCCACTTTCTCAGATGAAATGAAAAAGGCTTCTACATTCTTCTCGTCAAACTTAGGCTACATGTAGACATATTTAAAAAGATTCCCATCAGGCTTTGTCTATAATGCAATTGCTCTCCATCACTGTCATCACTACTACTACCTTTCACCTGTATGTCTGCCATTTTAAGTCAACTTTGAGGTTTCAGTTCTAGCCTTGAAAATTGAAAATCTCTCTCTCTTTCTCCCTTTCTTCTGCTAGGGCCGTCCTTTCCTTTTCTTTTTGTTCTGCCAGGGTTATTTTGTCCTTTTCTTTTTCCTCTGCTTTTAATTGTAATTCAGACTGTCATTTCCTTTTCTCTTGCCATTGCCTCTAATTCATTGCAATTGAATTTTAGCCATTTCCAGTGATTCTATTTGTATTCCTGGCAATTGTAAATGCTGCACTATTGTCACAATTATTTCCCCTTTCCTTACACAGACAACAACTTCAACTTCAACTTGTTTGCCAATTTGAAAAATCTTCCCTTGCTCAGTTTCTGTAAAACACCTGAAGTGACTTCTTCCACCCACAGGAAACTGTTAGTGACTAAAAGAACCATTATTACACAAGGCAGACCAACTGAATGCAACACCCAAATAAAAAAAAGGAACATTAACCACTCAATTCCTTTGAATTCATTAATCCTGAACCCAACCTAGAATTAAAGATTTGATCCTGACAAGATCCCCCAACTTGTTATGGACCAGATCTCTCACCCTCAAAATATTTTAAGATAGCCTAGACCCTAACATTTTCTTATTTTAATGGCAAGTGCTAGGCATTGTCTGCCAGATGAAATTCAATTGGTCAAACTACCAAGCTTGAAGCAAAACACAGTTTATTCAAACACTGTAGTTGAAAACAAACAAAATAAAAATAAAAGAATTGGCTTAACTGTAACTCTAGCAAAATGCTTAACAAATAGTAAACTAATTAACTGTTCCAATATAGTAACATCCAGTAAGTACACCCTTAGCAAAGGCAAATTCAGTAAAGTAGATCGTCTCACATGCAATTCTAGCAGAAAGAAGAGAGCCCAAGCTTTTAGCTGTAGCAAAGAGAAAGAGGTGTAGCATCTTTCACAACCCCAACAACTACTGAAAACTAAACTAAAAACCCTGGTCATAGTCATAGAAATGCACAGCATGGAAACAGACCTTTCAGTCTAACTTGTCCATGCTGACCAGATAGCCTAAATTAACCTAGTCCCATTTTGCCAGCATTTGGCCCATATCCCTCTTTAACCCTTCCTATTCATCTACCCATCCAGATACCTTTTAAATGTTGTAAGTGTACCAGCCTCCTCCACTTCCTCTTGCAACTCATTCCATACACGCACCACCCTCTGTAAAAAAAAATTGCTCCTTAAGTCCCTTTTAAATCTTTCCCGTCTCACCTTAAATCTATGGCTTCTAGTTTGGACCCACCCACCCCAGAGAACAGACCTTGTCTATTTACCCTATCCATGCCCCTCATGATTTTATAAACCTCTGTAAGGTCACTCCTCAGCCTCCAGCGGTCCAAAGAAAATAGCCCAGCCTATTTAGCCTCCCCCTATAACTCAAACCCTGGCAACATGCTTGTAAATCTTATATGAACCCTTTCAAGTTTAACAACGTGGTTCTGTGGGAGCTTGATCCTACCCATTCAGGCTGCTTCTATTATTCCAATTTTAAAATAATCGTAGGGCCTCAAGAGCTACTTACTTTATTGGCTTGACACAGACCACTCCAAACCTCTGTTATAATTTAAAAAAGAGGACAAAATACACCTCTTGAAGCCATAGTATTGTCACAATGCCAAAGCGCAGTTGTTCTTTCTGTTGAGTTGCAGGCTTCATTAATTGGCTTGTGATAAAACTCACTCCACCGTATCCTCATGGCTAATGAACTGAAATTATATCAATGTGGTAACAATATATATATATTTGCAAATGCTGTCTCAATGGGTATAAATTGTTTCAGTTGCCCATATATGTAATTTTGTGAAAAATTCTACTTGATATTTTTATTCAAAATATGAGCCACCAGGTTTGGCCACAAGTCTTGGATTTTTAAATACAGAAGGTCACAGTAGCACTGTGGCCTCACAGTGCTAGGGACCTGGGTTTGATTCCACCCTCAGGCAACCTTCTGTGTGTAGTTTGCACGTTCTCCCTGTGTTTTCGTGGACTTCCTGTGCACAGTCCAAAGATGTGCAGATTAGGTGGATTGGCCATGCTAAATTTCCTGTGGTGTCAAGGGATGTGTATGCTAGGTGGAGTAGCCATGGGAAATGTAGGGTTACAGGAATTGGGTGTTTCTGGGTGGGATGCTGTTTGGAGGGTCGGTGTAAACTTGATGAGCTGAATGTCCTGCTTCCACGCTGTAGGGATTCAATGACTAATTAAGGCTGTTAACAAAACAAGCTTTAAGTACTATTTTGTTTATTTTAGTTTCTTTTAGTTTTAGCTGAGGTTTCAGTATTTTGTTTAGTTCATTTATGGATGTGGGCATCACTGGATAGGCCAGCATTTGTTGACCATCCCCAATTGCTCAGTGGGCAGCTAAGAGTCAACCATGTTTCTGTGGATCAGAAGTCACATGTAGATCAGACCAGATAAGGATGGAAGATATCCTTCCCTAAAGAATATCAGTGACCCAGTTTTTATTTGCAACAATTCTTTAATTTTAATTCCAAGTTTTTTGTTTTATTGAATTCAAACTTCACCCCGTGCCACGGTGAAATTTGAATTCTATAGCCCGGAACATTAGCCCGGTGGCTTGGATTACTCGTCCAGTAACATTGCTCTTAAGCACGGCATCCCCCTAAAGTTTAGTGTTCCACATCAACATAACACCAATAAATATTTGAATTTGCTTTTTTAGCATTATACATTGCACTGCAAATTAAAGACAATTCTCTGAATCATGTGAGTGGCAAGTTACAAAATTTGTTGTTTGTTGACTTCTAAATTTACACAGGCTGATTCAGAGCAAAGATTTTAAAATTATCCTTCTTTGGAGCTGAAGAGCATTTATGCAACAAAATGTATGGCAATCTTATTTTTGACAATATTTTTAAAAGTCAAGGATGGCTATTGAGATAATAGTGATTATTTACAGAAAATACATTTTAGGCGTTTGTATTTGAATAATTCCATAAATATATTTTACTGTTCAATTACTGCACTTAAAAATTAATTCAGAAAATTCAATTTTTAACATTTAACACACTTTCAGAAACTGCTGTACAATGCTGGTGCCTGAATTGTTCTATTCAGTAGCAAATTACTCTTTTATCTTGCAGCGAAAAGAAGAAAGAACAGGAGCGTGAAGAGCTTTGGAAGAATCTTGAAGAGTTACAGCTCCAGAGAAGCCAGGCACTTTCTGGCAGCTTGCAGATCCATACCAACAATGTGGAAAATGCTCAGAGCAGTAAATCAAGTGCCAAATAACCAAAATCAGCGGTTGGTGTACAGTTACAGGCTATGAGTGATGGAGCATTTCATACATGTTTTGGAATATGTGTGGGGAAAATGCACACACAAGGAAAACCTTCAGCAGTATACTTCCAAAAAAGACCTACTTTTTTGATGAGCTGTAAATTATGTCAAAAGGAAAGAATATGAACTTTGAACATTACTGTGTGACCACATGATATTTGTAACTTTGTCTGATCATGAATTTATTACGTCACTTTTTAGAATTCAGAGGATAAATGAATTTATCATTTGTGACCAGAGTGAAAATAATTGAGTGGTGAAATTAAGACTTGAAAAATTTTTTTGATTGTGCTGCACATTGAAAATTAGTCAGCTATTTAAATATAGATTTTTCCTATTTTATATGTGCTTCTCACAATGCTACAGACCTCAAGTAACTTGAAAGGGAGTGAGTTATGCATACACAGCAAGCATTAGAAATTCAAGGATAAAATATTGTATGTTTTTTTTTCTCTTCAACTAGTCTTTCTGATGCCTGTGCCAGAGAACCATTCCATTCTGTAAACCTATGGCAGTGTGAAGCTCTTTTGTAATAAAACAACTTATTTGAGGTTTTGAGCAACATTCAATAAAGTCTACATAATATTTGTATTTGGATCTCACCATTATTAATTTTTATATTTTAGGAAACGTTTTACAGTTTCTGATGGAGCCGTATAAATCTCTCATAATTGCACTAAAGTGTAAAAGTTCAGATATCCAGTCCTAGATTTTCATTACTTAAGTAAAGAAATAGGGTTACATTGTAGATCATCAGTGTCTATTTATTAATATGCACCAGGTGGAACGAGAGAAACTGTCTGCGACTGCAGTGCTTCTGTATGAAATGAGATTGGGCACTCTTGACCCACTTCCTGTTTGGCTACAAGTTGCATGTCGCAAAGTTTTGAAGTAGTCATTTTGGCCTCAAAACATTAAATCTGTTTCTCTCTCCACAGATGCTGCCAGACTGCTGAGTTTTCTCCAATATGTTTTTATCTTACATAATTAGAGACTCCTCTTCAGATGTAGCTGTCTTGGGCAGCATAGAACAGGGTGCATTTCTGAAGTTGCAATATAGGTACTTTTTTTAGACTAAGTCAAAGTTAAGTTGACTTTGCATCTGTTTGCACTTTCCATGGATCTCTAACGAGTACTAACAGAATATATCTGGAGTAAAGTATATTAAAAACTAAACATGCATCATTCCTCGGGGCAAAGAGTTGTACAGTTTTGATCCTAAACACTTAGGTGTAGTTATATGCCAATAGATTTTTGTTTATTTTCCTTGCTTCACTGGGTGAAGTTTTCTTTATCCATGCAGCTTTAGCTCATCCCACATGAAACGTTAGTTCTTTGTAATGTATCGATAAGATCAAATCAGAGACTTATTGTGGAACCATACCTTCAGAACAGAAATCTTGAAATGATTTTCTCATTTTTATCTTCCTCAAGCAGTAAGCGGGTTTTTATTTTCATTCAAACAAAAAAAGGTAAAGTTGGAAAAGAAGTTTGGGGAAATTTTAGAGATACAGGAGCATCAGGCTTGGGACAGGGTAGGACAGAGGAAGGATGTGCACTGACTATAGCTGCATCCTGCTGTTGATGTCATTTTTTAAAAATTGTTTGTGGGATGTGGGTGTCGCTGGCTGGCCAGCATTTATTGCCCGGCACTAGTTGCCCTTGAGAAGGTGCTGATGAGCTGACTTGTTGAACCGCTGCAGTCTACTTTTTGTGGGTTCACCCGCAATGCGATTCATGAGAGAATTCCAGGATTTTAACCCAGCGACAGTGAAGGAACAGCGATGCATTTTCAAGTCAGGAATGATGAGTGGCTTGGAGGGTAACTTTAGGTGGTGGTGTTCCCATATAGTTGCTGCCCTTGTCTTTCTAGATGGAAATGGTCACAGGTTTGGAAGGTGCTGTCTGAGGATCTTTAGTGAGTTTCTGCATTGCATCTTGTAGATAATGCACACTGCTGCTACTGAGCATTACTGGTGGAGGGAGTGGATGCTTGTGGATGTCGTGCCAATCAAGCGGGCTGGATGGTGTCAAGCTTCTTGAGTGTTGTTGGGGGTGCACTCATCCAAGCAAGTGGGTAGTATTCCATCACACTCCTGACTTGTGCCTTGTAGATGGTGGACAGGCTTTGAGGAGTCAGGAGGTGAGTTACTCGCTACAATATTCCTAACCTCTGACCTCCTCTTGTAGCCACTGTGTTTATGTGGTGAGTCCAGGTGAGATACTGCTCCATGATAACTTCCAGGATGTTGATAGTGGGTGATTCAGTGATGGTGACACCGTTGAATGCCAAGGGGTGGTGGTTAGATTGTCTCTTATTTGTGATGGTCATAGCCTGGCACTTGTGTGGCACGAATGTCACTTGCTACTTGTCAGTCCAAACCTAGATATTGTCCAGATCTTGTTGCATTTGAACATGGATTGCTTCAGTATCTAAGGAGTCGCACATGGTGCTGAACATTGTGCAATCATTGGCGAACATCTCCACTATTGACCTTGTGATCGAGGGAAGGTCATTGATGAAGCAGCTGAAGATGGTGGGCCGAGGACACTACCCTGAGGAACTCCTGCAGAGATGTCCTGGAGCTGAGATGATTGACCTCCAACAACACGACCATCTTCCCATGTGTCAGGTATGACTCTAACCACTGGAGAGTTTTCCCCCAATACCCATTGTTACAGATTTGCTCGGGCTTCTTGATGCCATAGGGTTGAATGCAGCCTTGATGTCAAGAGCTGTCACTTTCACTTCACCTCTGGAATTCAGCTGTTTTGTCCATGTTTGGACCAAGGCTGTAATGAGGTAAAGAGCCGAGTGGCCCTGGTGGAACCCAAATTGGACATCACTGAGCAGGTTATTGCTGAGCAGGAACTGCTCGATAGCACTGTTGATGACATCCTCCATCATTTATGATTGAGAGTAGACTGATGGGTGGTAATTGGCCAGGTTGGATTTGTGCTGCATTTTTATGTACAGGACATACTTGGGCAATTTTCCACATTGTTGGGTAGATACCAGTGTTGTAACGGTACTGGAACAGCTTGGCCAGGGGAATGGCAAGTTCCGGAGCACAAGTCTTCAGTACTATTACTGGAATATTGTCAGGGCCCAAAGCCTTTGCAATATCCAGTGTCTCCAACCATTTCTTGATATCACATGGAGTGAATCATATTGGCTGAAGACCGGTATCTGTAATGCTGGGGACCACTGGAGGAGGCCTCAATGGATCATCCCCTTGGCATGTCTGTTGTGAAAGCTTCAGCTTTATCTTTGGCACTGACGTGCTGGGCTCTTCCATCATTGGGATATCTGTGGAACCTGCACCTCCAGTGAGTTGTTTAACTGCCCACCACCATTCATGACTGGATGTTGCAGGACTGCCAAGCTTAGATCTAATCGTTGGTTGTGGGATCGCTTACTCTGTCTATCACTTGCTTCTTATGCTGTTTGGTATGCAAGTAGTCCTGTTTGGTGGCTTCACCAGGTTGACATGTCATCTTCAGGTATGCCTGGTGCTGCTCCTGACATGCCCTCCTGCGCCCTCCATTGAACCAGGTTTGTTTGCCTGGCTTGATGGTAATGGTTGAGTGTGGGATATGTCGGGCCATGAGGTTACAAATTGAGCTGGAGTATAATTCTGCTGCTGTTGATGGTGCACAATACCTCATGGATGCCCAGTCTTGAGTTACTAAACTTGTTTGAAGTCTGTCCCATTTAGCACAGTGGTAGTGCTACACAACACAATGGAGGACTGTGCAGTGGTCACTCTTACCGATACTGTCACGGACAGATATTCACAATAAATTATCATACTTGTTTCGAACCTATTAAAATATGGTAATTCTATTTGCAATCAGAAGGCCAAGTTCACCATTTTCATCTGATTCATTTATAAACTTCTGAGCTCAAATGGATATACTGCCTTCAAATATTTCCACCAATGTATGTTGATAACTTCAAAAAATTTTTGTAATCATACTGTGCTGGGGTCTGGGTACAACAGTTAATTACATCCATGCAGTTATTTATTTGATACATTTTAAATAATAATTATGAGGGAAAAGCGCCAAATGTTTGCCAATTTCCCTTAATCATTTACCCATCAAGTGAGATGAATAAATGTGAACACCATTTATAACTGTTCTTGTATGCTTGTAGAATGGTACATGGTAAAGACACTAATCAAGGCCAAAACTAATTGTTTGGAACATGTAATTGACATGAAGAATCATTGCAGTATTTGGTCCCAGATTTTCTGACTAATGTTGCTTTTAGGTAGATTATTGCAAGTATTAAAATAATGCTGGTCAGTAAATCTAATTTCCAATGAGTTTAATTAGACTTCACAATGTAATTAATGTTACTGCCTTGCTGAGAACTTTTAAAACACTTGTTTTCTGCTTTTCTCTTAAGTAGTTTACATGTTGTTTGAACCATTGACTTGATCTGTGACTGGTGGACCTTTTTTTCACAAAGCCGCCAAGGGACTTGATTATGTTTTAGTTTCACTTCTGATGACTGATCCAAGCTGCCATTTCTCTTTGTAGATGAGAAAGTAAACCTGTGATTTTTCGGTGTTTTCTTTTAATTTTAGATATCCGTTTTGTTTCTTGGGTGCAGTTTTTTAAGTAATTGTCATTTTTCTAATAAAATTAGCCTTTAAATCCTGTTTGTTTGCCATAATTGTCCTTCCTTTCACAGATTCACCATTCCTTCATATATCATTGTGTTTCATGCAATCTCCCCCACTTCAAGAAAACCACTTACTTCCATGATCAGCTAAATCTATATCATAGCTGTCCTGCTTGTCAGTTCCAAGTCATATTTTGTCGTACGTCACTCAAATGAAGAACAGTTTGTTTTCTTTTTCTTTGTTCTGCCTCCTTCCAATTTCTCCTCTCATTTTCACAATTCTCTTCTGAGCCAGATCATTTTGTCCTCGGCAATGATATTAGAACTTTATCCTTTGTGCTTTTTTTTTCAACAAATTTTTATATTTTCCTTAGATTTTCCTTTGCTTTCATATGGTGAGAAATCTTTATCAAGTCTCGTTCTACCTATTTCCAGCTTTCTTAATTCTTTGGAACTGTATCTTCTGACTTGTTGTTACTTTTACCACATTTTTATTGATGTTAGTAAGTTCTCTGTCCTCTTCCTACATTCACTAAAACCTGTTTTTTTCAGAACTTTCTCACTCCCAACTTCTTATCCTGAGTAAAATGGCTAATGAAAGTGATGCTGTTATCATGGCAGAAAAATCTCTGCTGGGCTGAGCTGAAGTACTGTTTGAGTCCTATTCCTTTCTCTCCATGGATCACAATAATATTATGGAATAATACCCGAAACGGTGACTTCTCCTTCCCTCCAGATGCTGCCTGGCTTGGTGTGTTCTTCCAGCCTTCTGTTTGTCTACCTTGGATTCCAGCAACTGCAGTTTTTTGTCTCTAGCTGAGATATCTCATCCGACGATCTTTTCTCAACTCCCCCATTACCTCAATGTCATCCCAAAGTCCTTAACCTATTTCCTTGTTCACCCAAAAATCAACACAAAGCAGTGTCGTAATGCAATTTTTTCTTCTTGTTCCACTGA